CCAAATGGAGAAGACCGAGTAGATTAGCATTACTATTGTATGTGTATCAGTGGATGGTGTGTATACAAGTTTTGCATTGTGTTATTGTTTTGGCCATAAGTTTAACAGTTTTGAAAACAGTATGTAAGCACATGCAAAATGTCCTGTACGTACAAAGGTTTTTGGCAGTTGTTGTGTCTGAGTGAGAAGATAATTCATGAAATTTGAGAGATGTAGTCATTGAATGCATTTTGTGCCAAAACAATGATAACTGGTCCTCAGTTTAGCCCACATAGACTTCTGTTGTGCTCACTGTGTGAGGAGTTTTGCAAACGTGACCTAAGTATTGAGAAATGTGTCCTAGCGTCTGTAAAAAACTGTAATACTAGTACCATCAATTAAAAAATGACGTGCAAAAAAATAAAAATACATAAACAAATATTAACGAATTCTGCATGATGTCTGATTCATTCCAGTAACATATATTGAAATTATAAACAGAGATGTGTCCTTGTTTTACACAAGAAAACACTGTGTAATGCTACATGTTGTTAGTGTTTTTTAGGTCATTGTTTTGTGGGTGACAAAGTGTGTTTGTCGGCTGTCAACCTTTGCTAGTGTTCTGGAAGAATGAGTTTATTTGAGACCTGAATGAAGTGTTTTGGTAGTTGTAGTGCATTTTGAATGTGAAATGAACTGCTTTGCCAAGCTGACGGTCAGTTAGGAGGATTGTGTGAAGAGTTTTGCAAAAGTGGCCTAAGTATTGTGAAATGTGTCCTAGCGGCTGTAAAAAACTGTAAATGAAATGGTACTTATTGTTGTATTTTCTGCAGGCTACAACTTCACCTCAGATAGCGTGGCAAGCACTGAGAAAAAGATCCTAACCTACCACCGCATGGTGGAGGCCTATCGTTTCGCTTACGCAAAGAGAACCATGCTCGGAGATCGGAAGTTTCTCAACATCACAGGTGTAAGGTTATAGATTATACAATTATTAAAGGAGTTTTTGACATCACTTCTATAATGAAACAAATCAAACAAATAAAAAAAAAACCAATTGAAATTAATCCAAATTTGATGTTAGTCCTCCATGAGAGTCATTGTTCGACACTGTTTGAAAAGAGAAAAACAAAATTACCCTGCATATTCTGATTAGGCTAGAATCTTTAAAACCTGAGGACAGAATAATAGGAAACCTTTTTAGGTTTTGCATGTGTATAATTATAATATTTCTCCCCCAAAGCTCATCCAGAATATGACTTCACAATTGTATGCCGATGCCCTCCGTGAAAAGATTACCGATGAAACCACACATCACATGAACTACTACGAGCCGGAGTTTTATCTGCCTGAAAACTACGGGACCTCGCACCTCTCGGTAGTAGCTGAAGATGGAAGTGCTGTGGCTGCCACCAGCACTATCAACCTATAGTACGACTTCCTAACTGACACTTCATGAAGTTAATCACTCATGTGTGTACAAATTATGTGATTTCTTACTGGTTATTGAGTTTGTTTTTTGCAGTTTGGGCTCCAAAGTTATGTCAGCATCAACAGGGATCATTCTCAACAATGAGATGGACGACTTCAGCTCGCCTGATATCACAAACAGCTTCGGTGTGCCTCCTTCACCGAACAACTTCATCAGGCCAGGTAAGGTTATGGCCACCACGCTCGTACAGACTGAGAACACACATAAGAGGGCCTTAAAACCAGCGACTCTGCAAGACAGATGAGCTTTTTAATGACAGAGTGATTAAAAGTCATGCAGATGTCAGCCTGGTTATTGACTGAATAATATCTTGTGTGCATGCACATGAATCTGCTCTGACTCAGACATTCAGAAAGTAATTATTATCAACATATCATTTTAAAAAGGGAAACGGCCAATGTCTTCAATGTGTCCAACAATCCTTTTTGACAAAAGCACCAAAGTGAAGATGGTGGTCGGAGGTTCAGGAGGAACAAAAATCACCACCTCTGTTGCTCAGGTAAAATGCATACCTATGTAAAACACTCATTTCTACTCGTTAAATGTAGAAACTAATTAATAACTTGGTTTCTATTTAATACTTATTAGGTGATTCTAAACACCCTGTTCTTCAACTATGATCTGAAAGAAGCTGTGTTAGATCCAAGGGTCCACAACCAGCTGAGTCCTAACATCACTGTAGCGGAGCCTGGCTTTGACAAAGTGAGTGTCACAAGCAGTAAACAACAACTGGGCGGTGGTGTGGTGTGCAGGGAAACTATGTTTTATTCACAACCCTAAGAAACACTGTATAAACCAAAGTCATGACTAGAACTGGGAACACTGGACTGCAAGCAGAAACAATTACAGATGATTTCATGATTCTAGAGCCATACTTCTGTAATCAGATTACACAGAGAGGAGAAGAAGGGAGAGAGGAAGAGAAAACTGAAAACAAGAACAGTTTTAGGTGATATATTTGTACATCACAAATACAATGCTTGACAAATTTATTTTTTTCTGGTGTAAATTTACTACCACAGCTACTCTGAATTAGCAGTATTGGTAATCACAAAATTTCTCTGTTTCTGTTACAGTTAATCCACCAATCATAACGATATTTTAATGCAAAAATATAAGTGTTGCTGTTCTGAATTTTCTAATTCAGTTTGACTAAAAAGCAAAAAGAAAAAAAAAATGTAGCACACTTTTTTTTTATTGGCACCAGTACAATTATGAATTTCCATACCTGAAAGCACGGTGGCACGGTGGTTAGCACTGTTGCCGCACAGCAAGAAGGTCCTGAGTTCAATTCCAACATCAGGCTGGGGTCTTTCTGTGTGGAGTTTGCATGTTCTCCCCGTGTTTGCGTGGGTTCTCTCCGGGTACTCCGGCTTCCTCCCACCATCCAAAGACATGCAGCTTGTGGGGATAGGTTAATTGATTAATCTAAATTGTCACTAGGTGTGAATGCGAGTGTGAATGGTTGTCTGTCCCTGTGTGTTAGCCCTGCGACAGACTGGCGACCTGTCCGGGGTGTACCCTGCCTCTCGCCCTATGACGGCTGGGATGGGCTCCAGTGCCTGAAAAGGATAAGCGGAAGCGAATGGATGGATGGATGGATACCTGAAAAGAAAAAAATGTTTCAGTAATTGAGTTTTATGCTTGATTCCTTTCAAACTTCCACCCCTTTAAATTCTGCATCTGTTTTTTTTCTAAGAGCAGACACTGACTTCCTGGTCCAAAGATCGTTCATGCTTTATATTCTTATTCTTACATAGTTAACTTGGTTGCACTATTACATGTGGGGTGATTGCTGACCAGCACTCCAGTTCTCTTATTAAAAGTGCTCTTTACAAGTACAGTTTACAAGTACTGTGTAATGCAAAAAGTATTAAAATAATCCTCTCTACTCTCATGCAAAAACAGCAGTGTTAATGGACAAACACTGAACAGACAATCCCTCCCCACATGTTTACATGGCACGCCTAGTCAGTCATGTTTTTGTGCTTAGAGTCTGTCTTCACTCATGTTTTGGTTTCCAGGATGTCCTGGATGGTTTGGCAAGGAAGAACCATGAGACAGAACTCCTCACATCGACAGGAGCCGTGGTGCAGGCAGTACTGTGTCATGATGACAAGGTGTATGCTCAGTCCGATCCACGCAAGGGGGGGTATGCAGCAGGATACTGAAAGTTATAAACACACCTATGATTATGGAGAGATACTGTAGTTTTGTGAACCTTGACACCGGTGGGACAACCTCAAAGATTAGAAAGTTGATAAAGATTCAGCCAACATGGGCGTTTGTCTTGGGCACCAGTTGATTTGTACTGATTGTACAAAACAGCTAGTACCAGCTGTACAAGCCTTTAACCAGTACAAGCTATACTTTAACACTGAGTGCCTTGGCTGAGTCTTCTTAACTTCACATCATTCTAATGATCACATCAATCTAGTGAATAAAATCTTTTAAAAAAGATATCTTTTGTTATGTACTTTTAAATTAAAGAAATTTAAACAGTAAAAACAAACAAAACTGTTCAGACACCGAGCGCCTATGATTCAATCTATTTGTGAAGCACAGATTAGTAGATGTGTAAAGCAGTTTCCTGCTATTGTTTTGACACATGGCATCGACAAAACTGAGATCTGCTACTGTAATAAGAAACTGCAACACCTCGGGATCAAACATTTTCAAACACTGCACATAACAACATCCAGGAATCCCAAGTTCATTGGCTTTTAATGACCTCATAAAAACATTACAGCTGTTGCCGTCTATCTTCACCTTTCATTCAGCTAGAGTTACATAATAAGTTAAATACATAACAGTGTTAGATTAGATATATAGAAATAAATGGATTTGCTATGAGTGACTGGATCACATGTAATAGAACCAATGTTTCAAAACAAAGCTGGGACTTGTTCTCTGGACCTACCATATATTTATTGAAAAATAAATAAATTGCAACTTTTGAAGCCCAGAGCTGTGTAGTTTGGCTATTTCCATCTTGTTCTCTCTTTTAATTTTTTTTGTATCACTACTTGGATCATTAACTATGTTTACAATGTTAAACCATGACTCCATCTTGGTGTTTTGACACCAGATCTAATAAGTGAAGGATGGAACTGACAAAGACTGTGCACTCTTATCACTCAACAACTTGTTGCACAACATTCAGCCCAGTAGCTTACCCTGTTATATAGTTTATTAGACCAGAGCTGGGACCATAATTTACCAAATGAACATAATCCTGTATTGAATTTAGGTTGTGAATCTAGCGACTGACACCATCAAGTGTTTTCTGAGGTCATAAATCAAGTGCAGGGCTAGGTCAAGGTGTTATGGGGCCCTAAGCAGAATTTTATTAGGTGCCTAAACACATCACCTACCCCCCACATGGCACCATTAATTATTAACCATTCTCCTCATTTAATTGTTAATTGTGCATCTAAGACAACCATTACCATGGTGTACTACCGTGCAGGAAAGCAGTAAAATAAACCAGCAGACAAAAGTTACACAAATAAAGTTAACAATTTTTATTGACTTTGTACAAAAGGGCAAAACAATTACAATTTAACATAAGCCTAAATATTTTTTATTACATAAAAAACAAGGGCAAAAAAACAACCAAGTTTAATACAAACGTATGTAGGAAAACTTAATGTGATGTGTTCAAAATGAGGCAATGCAAGCCACAAACAAAATGAGACAACCTGTCAATACAGGATAGCCCATTAATATGTGACTAGCACTTCCTTAGTTCAGACAGCCATGGCAACGTTTCAGCCTAATCAGTAACAAGTCATATTTACAGTTTAACTTGTGTAGCAAGAGTCTAACTCTGACCATCTCAGACTAAATCTAAAACATAATTCATTAGTCAAATCAATGAGATTAATGGGAAACAATCCCGGCAGCTACAATATTTATCATCTTAAAGTTGAATCTCCCACTTTCAAAAGGGATAAACAATATAGTCCAAGGCCAGGGATAGCTATGCCACAAATCAGCTACACCCCACAGGCTGATAACCTCAACAGGGATCAGCTGTTGTTCTCCCATCCTGTACAGAGTAGTCCAGCAACCACTCCAGGCTCAGCAAGACAATTTTTTGCATGCGAGTGCAATCAAATACACCTGTCATCAATGAACCCAACCCAATTGCAGCCATTGTGAAACACAAAACCACTCCCAAATTAGTGCCCATTTCCTTGCATCAAATATTGAGGTGCCTCGATGGTGCGAGTACCATTCATATAACGATGAATGTTATTCAGCAACATCAGACGTGATGACCAGATCTGTTTGTAAGGCTGTGAACAGACTAGTGAGCTAAAGATAACGTTTCCAGCCATGATTTCTGTGGTTTCCACACAACGTAAACTAACCTCGTCATGCACTGAGTGAAATGAAGGCCACTTTCATGCCTCTGTTTAACTAACATCACGGTCAGTGAGTGTTTATGATACCAGACTGTAATTACTCATGGAAACATCCTTTTTCTGCTACTTTTTTCCTTCCTCTGTTTTTCTCTTTTTCACTTTTCACCCCCAGAGGAATAAATCACTTTTGTCATGATCTACTTGCACACAGTTACAGTAAACAAGACCCCAGCTGTGACACTGGCAGTGGAAATCTTTGCTTTTTTCTTCGTCCCAGAATTTCATCTCTGCTTATTGCAGATGATGTAGTTCAGCAGTTCACACGCACTGGAGCAGTTTGCGGCCAAGAGTGATGCGGCGGGAACAAGAATTAGCACCTCCAAGTCTGATGCCATGGTCCTCAGCCAGGGAAGGGTGGAGTGCTCACTCTGGGTCAGTGATGAGATGCTGCCACAAGTGAGGGGAGGGGGGAGCAAGTGATTGACAGACGGACTGGGGCGGCATCTGCAGTGATGCACACACTGTACTGGTCCATTGTGGTAAAAAGAGAGAGGAGCATGACGATTTACGTCCCTACCTCATAGTCACGAGCTCTGGATAGTGACTGAAAGAACGAGACTGCAGATAGAAGTGGTGTAAATGAGCTTTCTCTGAAGTGTGGCTGACATCTTTCTTAGTGATAGGCTGAAGAGTTTAGACATTTGAAAGGGGCTCAGAGTAGAGCTGCTGCGCCTCTGTGTCGACAGGGTAAATGATTAGTAATGGCAAATGACACCTTTGTACTCCAACTGACCACTTTACATGACTTGCCGACTCATACAAGCACTTCTTTCTATGCTTTATCTACATAAGTGCTTTCTATCTAACATTCAAACACACTCATATGCTGATGGATCCATCGGAGAGGAACTTGGGGCTAGCATCTTGCCCAAGGACATTCTGAGGTACTGTCTGAGTTGCGGCACCTATCCTTCAGGAGAATACTGCAAGTGCTACCTGTAGTGTATTGGTGAGCATACATGGATGCGAGTGTGCCATGACGTTAGCGGCAGCACACAACGTGACCAACGTGGCAGGTCTTTAGGATGACTTATGTGGACACTGAACAATTTCAAAGGGTCTATACTCCTGTAAGGTAACACATAGCTTCAAACATTTAAAAGACAAATTCATCTCTATCCTCTCTTCTCACAAAGGGACCAAAACTTGCCAACTTGTATAAGTGAAAACTGCTTTTGGAGCCAGCCTCAAGAGGCCGTTTGAAGTCCTTGCCTGTAACTGTAACTTGCTTGTACTTGTTTCTCTGCATGCAAACATATTGACTACCACTAGCTTACAGCTTCAGTACAGCGGAGGCGAGGTCTTTAACTTTCATTAAACTACAATGGGCACACAAAGCAGGCTAATATCCCCATTCTGACAGTTACAGTTACATCAGAAAAAATGTTTGGCCGCTGAAATATTCCCGCTCCTGGAACAAACCTCGGACGCAGTGCTATTTTTCACAACGTTGCTCAAGGCTGGATAAAAGCCAGTGGTTTTATTTTACATAAATAAAGCCAAATGTCTCCTGCAGGGGGAAATAGGGGGAGAACTACCTGCCGAGAGGTATGATTTAATGTCTGTGTGCGCGTAGTTATTAAAGTGAGACTCATTCGCATTGCAAAATCCATGTTGATGCTCGAATTCTTTGATGTAAGCCTCAGAGAGAAGATCATTTTTCACAAAGATATCTTCCTACACATACAGGCTCTTACTGAACCTGACCTAATTTATGTTTTTTTTTTGTTTTTACATATTTTAAAAGAAAAGAAGAAAAGAACAAAAATAGAAGAACTATAAAAAATGTGTAATGACTGTACTGTGGCGAGTAAGACAGTGCTGCGGTTTTTTGTTTCGTTTTTTCCACTCCAGATATTCCACGTACATTTTATGTTTTACCTGAACAGTTGGTCTTGATTGTTATATAATGTTATGATGTAATGACCTCTCGCCTGAGATTTGAGATATGTATTTTTGACTTTTATCGCTCTCTGTTATCTGGTGTTTGGGCACTCTCTCACCTGTGAACCATTACCATCCATTGGCGGTTTTGCCAGTAGTGGCAGAAGCAGGTGTAGAGTTACAGTAATTGGGGGGAAAGTGCAATCCCACCATGTGTGCCAATATTACATTTAACATACCACAATTTTATTTGAATTCACAATTATTTTACTTTTATTATCCTGAGCTGCTACCTCCTGTGCTTACAGCTGCTCTGAGAAGAAGCTGCAAAAAATTAAAAATAAATAAAAAATCTAAAAATTTTCCTTCAGGGCCCAATTAAGCAAAGTCTCACTTCCACATATGATTAAATTCAAAGTTATGCAACTCAGACCAATTGACTAACCCTCTAGGCTAGGAAAGAAAAAAAATCCCAATTCTCTGTGTATATCAGAGTCTACATGTAGTTTTAATTTGACTCATTGCCTCGAATGGCATTGTGACAAATGCATATAATGACACAGAAGCTGACATAATAAAAGCATCAAACTACTGTTAAGATAATTTGCCTCATCAAAGGACTTTGTGAGCGAAAGTGTGCTGAATCATCACAGGATTATTTAACCGCTCCGCTCTGAGAGAGAAAGACAATTTCTGCACCCTTTAAAGTGATGGCTCACTTTAAGTGGTTGTTATTTATACAAAGAGGGCAAGATCGTGGCACTAAAGTCGTGAAGTTGCAACTTATCCAGATTAACTCATTTGTCATACAACAAAAGACAGTGGTGCTTCACACGGAGTAAAATTTGCATGTTCTCATAACTCTCATCTAGAGCCTCAAAGGAGAACGGAGCAGAATCCACTTAAGAAATCATTACTAATTCATAAGTTTCTCTGCTGAAATGTATCTCATTACTGCTTTCTTTGTTCCACTGCTGCTCTGTATAAACGCATAAGGCAAAAGGGGAAAGCACCAAATAGAATTAATCCCATCATACTGTACTAACAACCAGGAATATGTGTTTAAAGAAAGAGTTTGTGGTTTAGAAGGATTTTTATTACAAACAATACAAAATATGTTCATAAAACATAAAAAACCAAAATATTCGAGGTGTGTTAAAATATATAAAGTACATTTTTGGGGGAGGCTTTTTTTTGGATTAGGTTATTTCACATAGAGTAACACATTTAAGGTCACAGTAAAAGTTCCTTGTTGAGGAAGCTGCCAGGATGTCACTTTAAAAAGGTTATATGGCTCATCTTGAGTTAAGATTTCTTACAAAGAATTACATGTTTCAATAACTGATTTAGCAGACACACTCAGTGCACATTTCTCCAACAGTGCATGAAATCAAATACGAGCACCTTTGTGGCTGGAGTGATCATTTGTGTATCCGTTGGTCAGATATTAACATTTCAGTTTAGCTCCCTACTCTTGCTGAGGACACGTAGGCAACACTAAAAGTAGCTGTGACGAGGCAGGCGGCCCGTGCGGTCGACCAAAAGCAGTTTTCAAACAGTCAGTGTGGCCGGCTGAATTTTGTGACATTGGTTTTTGACAAACCAATAAAAGTCATCGTCCTCTTTGACTACTGTCATCGAGGCTAGTGCCATAAAAACGAACAAGTGCGTATGTACTTAAGACGGAGCATTTCAAACATTCACAACCCTTCAGAGACCGCTTTCCTAGCTGAACGTTGTCCTGAACTTTCTGTAGCTGTGCATGCTCCCGGTACACACAGCGACTGTATTTTCTTATCTCATGTTTTTATGGGAATTCTCAATGACTGCATAAAAAAAGAAACATACAGAAACTTGTCAACGCCCGCTGAAGGTAGAAAGGTTGACACATGGATGAAAGCAAAGTTCACTGGAAACGGTGTGTCACATATATTACATCATCTCAGGGCACTTTTCTGCAATAGCTCAATGGTGCTCGACTGGAAACAAACTCCACCTGTGTGTGCCTATTTCCTAATATCTACATAGATGTAGTTGATGAATAGAAATTTAAACACCCTTATATTTATATATTTAGTGCAGATTTCACCTCAACATAAATTGGGTTTCTATAGCCTGGAGTGATTGGATTTGAAGCAATTATAAATTGGAGTTATCCTCTAAGGTGAGTAGTTTCCTGATTGGTCCAGTTGGATGGAGCCACAGCACCTTTTGTTCACCTTTTATTTGTCAGTGTTTCCGCACATATGGTTACTTTTAATGCTGAAGGGTCAGTTAGTCTAAAGGGCAGAGATAAGTGGAAAGGTCACGCATCCTTGTGGTCAGTATCCAGCTGACATTCCCATCTTCCTGCTGTCAGACACAGCAGCAATGCAGTTGTTCTCCTTTTCCACAGCATTGACCACATTGAGAAAGTATTGCCACTTCCCGGTTTTGTGTTTAAGCTGTTCCTTTAAGCCTTTTGACACAGACTGAGGGTACACAACACACACACAGACAAAACATTAATACTACTTATCCTTAAGAGATTACAGAAAAATTAAATCTGCCTTTGTAGGATTATGGACCGCTAATCTTCTTCAGAATCCATTATTACAGATGATTTTTTTCTGATAGACAGTCTAGTGAATTTGAATATCATTAATGGATAGCAAGGATAAAGGGAAGTACTTCACCTCATCAAAACCAGGTTCAAAATTTACGTCGTTCTTTGAGTCGATGAAGATTATGCGCTCAGTAATGGCATCTTTCAAGCTCATCCCCAGCCACTGGTGATTTATTATAGACTGCAAGGATAAAAGAACTGTGAGTAAACAAACAAAGAAGTATACAAACAAGGAAACAAATAGAGTTTTTAATTATTGAATTACCAAGGCCATTGCCGGCGTAATCAGGCTTCCTCCCGATCCACCAATTATGAGAAGACCCCCAGACTTTGACTCCAGTATCACTGGACTCATTGAGGATGGAGGTCGTTCGCCTACGTAAAGATAAAACATCAGATGGAAATCAGACTCGGTGATGAGATCGTGAAACGTCTGTAATTTAGTTGTCGTATATAACTTCACCTGCCCTCAGTGTGTCTGCTCTCCCGCAAAAGTCAGCCAGCTCATTGTTGAGGATGATGCCTGTACGTGGAGAGTAAATCATTCCTCCAAATCTACAGAACAAAGGGTACTCAGTCAGCTGAGGGGATGATGGATACACCCAACATTAGTATGTTTGCTATAACACAACTCTTCCTGCTCACACTTGGTTTATGGTGCTTGTGGCAGAGACGGCCAGGCCATCTTCATCCAGGACAGACACGTGTGTCGTCCCAGTGTGATCTGAAGAAGGTGCGACGTTGTAGTAAGAGTTGTCATGGGTCATGTTTGACGAAATCATCTTCCTGATGCGATCAATGAAGGTGGGATCAATCAAGTGCTCTGCACACTAAAAGGAGAGCATCATTAAACATTTCCAAGATATCCCAGATATTACTGGTTTGAGATGTAGAAACCCCATCCTAAAAGTTGGGATGCTTTATAAAAGGTTTCGAAAGACACATTGAAAGTGTCATAAACCCACATTTTGTTCACAGCAGAACACATGTCAAATGTTTAAAGTGAGAAAATCTACTATTATTAAAAAAAGAAAGAGGTAATTTAGAAATTGATGTCAGCAACACGTCTCAAAAACGTTGAGAGAGGGCCGTGTTTACCACTTCTTCTTTTATCAATAGTCTGCAAACATCTGGAACTGAGGAGACCAGCTGCTGGGCTCCTCAGTTCATCTGTACCTTCTGTAGATGGATTGTTTTCATTTCCATCAATCAATGCAAAGTCCCTTCATTCTTAACATATTATAGATATTCATCTTGAGTTTTTTGAGCAGTGAATATAAATAATATAATAAAATATAAAATACATGAAATAATACATAATATATACCTAGACTTTAGAATTCAATTTCTTGCCCTTGTATTAAAACTGTCCCCAGTTCCAATAAGAAAAAAGATATTTCAGATCCCAACCTTGCCGTTATTAAACTTTGGATCACAAATGCTCTTCTTCTGTCCATTAGCAAATTTAACTGCCTCTATAAAATGATGGTACATCTCAATCTTCTTGTCACCAACCAGAGAGTTTGGCGTCAGCGAGAACCCTGCAGAGAAGACAGTGATAATGTTTTTAAGCTTTTGTGAGCTAAGAACTGTTTAACTGTTTCTTTAAATTGAAATTTCATCCAGCTGTTACAGCGGAAAAAGAAAATCACACAAAACACGACACCTTCCATGAGTTTGAGAATGAAGGCAAGCAGGGCGCCTCCAGCAGGGGGTGGAGGGATGTAGAGTTTAGCATCTCCCAAAGGAACAGTCCAAGCATCTTGGACCTGCACCTGGAATGACCTCAAATCCTCTATAGTCAAGGTCCCACCTGAGACAGACACACAGAACGTATATAACAAACTTTGCCCTAAATTAGATTAAAAATTTTTCATAACACTGAGTAAAAGTCATTTTTCCATTCCATTTAATTCCTTTTCAAACACAAACCCTCAGGCTGCTAATGCTGACATTGCACCAACCTGCAGCTGTTATGTCTTGGATTAAGTCATGCCCTATCTTGCCAGTGTAGAAATCCTCTGCTCCTTTCTCTGCAATGGTTTCCATGGTTTCTGCAAGTTTGGAAAACTTTACGATTTCGCCTGTGCTCAGAACAGTTTTGTTCTTGTGGCAAAAAATTTCACTGTAAAAAAGAAAAGAAAACACAAACTAAGCAAAAAGGAGAGCAGAGAAAAAGAGACAGAGAGCTGTCAAAACCAAAAACTGATGAAGGGTCAAAGCACTACACCCTGTGCATCCTAACAACATTGCACAGCTAAACCGCTTCTGCAAAGAAGAATGGATCGAGATCGCCCTGTGTGGGATCTGCAGCTATTAGAAATCTTTGCTTTAGAACTAAGTAACTCTTTTTCTACTTCTTATTTATTACCTAATCCTACCAGGATTATAAATGTTCAGATATAAAGACGGAGATTTTAAAAAATTACTTCTTAGTCCACTGAGATGAAGTGCTTGTTTAAACTTGTGACAAAGATGGAGACCATCTAATTTTTGGGCAGACAGAGAAGACGGTTTGTTAGGCTCACTGCAGTATAAACTGAAGCCAGGTTGATTAGTGGCACGCTGCATTGATTGAATAGGAAATTAACACAGCGCAGTCACAGTTCAGGGAAATATTCTTCAGTGGAACTGATAGCTGACAGTTTATCAAGTCCCTTTTAGTTATTTTTCTTGTGCTCTTAGGTCTCAGAAAATTCAGAATATTAAACTAAATAAAAAAAAACAACAATCCAAGCACAACAGAGGAGCCAGGAAGTTGAGGGAGATTCAGACAAGACCAGACAAAAACTCACTAAATACATAACACGGAATATGGGATTGAAACAAAATGACAGAAACCACACTTTAACTTTAAACAGGAAGTAAACTGAAGGACACAGCACAAAGCTGATAATGAAAAGAAAACAAAAACAAAACTGGATCATAAAGTCGGTGGCTCTGTTTGGAAGAACTGATTGCACTTTGGCATTAGAAGCAGCCATTTTCATTCTTGCACCCAAAATGTCCTTTTCACTGGTCTTGATTAGAAAAACATTTTCAGTTTAAAAGCTGATTAGACGAGGCATTTCTAACTCTGAAAAGAGAGCTCCAGAAAAATGGCTAATCACCATATTTGTTACCACATTAGATCTTGAATGCATTAGGAATGCAACATGCTGATCAAATGGCGCTGACGTGAATGCCCTGAAAGCGCTGCTGAGGCAGCATATATCACTGAGACCCAAATCAAAAGAAACTCTGGATAAACAAGACTCGTCATTGACCCTAGAGCCGAGTGTGTGCCTCAACCACCCACACGCACAAAATTGTACTCAATCCATCAACCCTCTTACAGATTGAGATACTGACAAACACAAAGATAATCATTCCTTTTCAGCAAACACACCTTTTTAAATGACTGACTCAGCTAAAATCTACCCTGAGGGCAGTGAGTCGAAGCAGGTTTGCCTCTGATCATCTAAGCAGTGCTCCATAATTTTACCTATTAGTTTAAAAGCTTTCCGAGATTACCTTACAGTAGAATTGGGTCACTTGGTGTTTACTACAATTTTTTTTTATCTTCAATCTCACAGGAATCCAGATTTGCACCTGACAGTGATGCACTTTTTAAAGATCCAAGTGCAATAGGTTTTCTAATCACCACTTATTTTCCTCTGATTCCCTTCGCTATCGTAAACATTAAAAAACTCTGTTTGTGCACACACTTTTGGCCCGGCATCCAAAAAGGAAATGCAATCTTTCAGGTATTCCCCATGATACCTGAGTCCTGGCTGCGTCTCACAAACATTTTTTGGATGAAGGTTAATGCTACCTTTGTCTCTGAGCTGGTAAATCCTGGTCCTGAGTCACGTTAAGAAAAACAATGTGCACTCTTATGTCATTAAAAATAACAATGCTTCACTGAGAACAATGAGTGTGGTGCCTGGCCTAAACTATTACGCAATGTGTAAAGTTAAATTCTCTTTGAGATGTTACATAAAACTATCACAAAATTAGTATAACCAGGGATTTACAGGAGAGGCCTTCGCTCCAGGAATTCTGCAGTGACAGCTGCATGAAATAGGCTCCAGCTAGGATTACAAATGCTTTTAGTTCATTGGTGCCATCAAACATGTGACTTAAAACACAATTTTTTCTTTGCAAGCATTATTAATTAAAAAAAAAAAAAAATCTTAAGTCACAGAGGAGTAATTGAAAAGCTGTACCAGAGAGACGATGTTTGTATGTTTCTTTTCACAAAGGACACGATTTGTCCCAGATAGGGTGACAGAGGGATGCCCTCCCTAGCCAGTTTAATTGTTGGTTCAAAAAGCCTGGCCCAGGGCAGCTTCCCGTACTGTTTGTGAATTGCCTCATAGCCTCGCAGCTCTCCGGGAACGCCGATCCACTGGCTGCCTTCAATGTAAAAATGAGAAAAGTAGTGCAGGTAAATTAGACTAATGGTGGAAAACTGTTTGCAAAATATGACAAAATGTTAATTGATAAGGAAGATCTAACCTTACCAGCACAACTAGAGCACTAACAACTTAAGCTACAATCACTGTATAAACAATACATAGTGATACTAAGTACATAAGTGGATAAAAACGGCATCTTTTAAAATTAAATAAATGAATTTCTGTAAAGTGAGAAACCACGAGGACAAAATCTGTAACTGGATATTGATAAGTGCTGTAAATCTACCTACCTGTGGAAAAACTGAAGAAAGTGGGACACTCCTGTAACAGGTTCTGTCTGAATGACTGTGGGACAGTTTCTCTGAAGTTGTAGACTTTAATGTTGCCTTAAAATAGATGAGAAATCCAATTGGTTGGTCTAATCAATCACTGCTGTGGAGAAATACAATTTACGAAACACGTATCAGTAGAGGACTTACCTTTCTTATCTCTTATAGTTATTATAGAGCCCCCTCCAATCCCCATGCTCTGAGGATTGACCACAGATGTGCACAGAAGAGCTGCAATGGCGCCATCTACTGCTGATCCACCCTGCTGAAGCATATTCCTGGAAGAGGGTTTCATTTTATTTATGGGAAATGTGTAAACACTCATTGCACACGCTCCGACTTACACGTGGCTTTAATTATTGAACCTGGTGTTTGAGTACTTGAAGATGCCACAGTACGGTGACGGCTGCCAGTGGGCATGTTCGAACCACATCCTGCTGTTTGAGGTTGACCTCAGGTAACATACCAGGAAGTCGCTGACCATAGTGGTGTTCTTTCTTTTCTTTCTCTTCTTTTTTTATTTGACTCATAAGGTAACCTGGCTCTAAAAAAAGAAATGTAACTCACATTTCTCACTCGGATTATCTAAGTTAGCTGTGACATAAACAACTTAATCCTGACTGGACCGTATTTGAATAGCCCTGAATGGGCCCTTTCACCAGTAGCCTGGCGTGAGATCAAGTGTAGTCACTGAGCTACAAGAGGAAGCACTGTTGGGAATGTTTTGCTTCTGATGGTCAGTGAATAATTAAGGTCTGACCGAATGAGTGATTATCTTACAAATCTGTGAGCATAAGTAACACAGAGCCGGCAACCAAAGGAGCTTTACAATGAAACATGAGTTGGGAAAAATTGGGGATGTTCACGGGGTGGGGGAGCTGAAAGGATTTTGGAGGTTTGAAAACTCAAACTGAAACTTGATAGCTCATCTGTCCGCAGTGAGTGTTGGTGCACACACAGACATATAAAGAGCTCTATTTGTCGCCCATCTACTGTAGAAGAACAAGGTCAGTATGATTAAACAACAAAAAGCTGATGTGTTTCAGGTTTCTTTGATTACTTGAAGTTGTGTCCTGTTGGCACAGTGCCCGGTGGTTTTACCTGCCTGAACAAATTTAGTGTGTTGGCTTTGAAGTGGGAAATGAACCCTCTTTAAACTTTGGCAGAGAACAGACAGAGATATATCTATCTGCAGGAAGCAGGAAAGGGTATGCTCACATCTAGTCGGGTGGGATGGGGGGGACAATAAAATAATCTGCTGAGCTTTATTTGCAGTTACTGTGTTGATTGATTAATGGCTTGCTCACTGCAGAACAAATAACTCAACCACAGAGTGCATTAGAGAAACAGCTCAGACCTTCACTGCCCAGTCAGAAAAGCTAATATCAGTTACTGAGTTTTTCTTTTACAGTTACAAGCACAAGTACTGAGGTACAGTGTGCTGCATGCTTACTGATCTGCAGGTCTTATCTCTGTTCTTCACTGCCTATTAAATCTCTTAAACAGCTTATCACATTGCTCGGTTCAGCTTTTTTCTTTAGAGTTGGAAGGTCCAGTCTAATAGTTCTGTCAAACAGTACTGTGAATTGTTGCCATGCAGCACTGGGTAAGCGCTACAGGTCAGTTAATTTGTGAAGCACCCTGAGGGTAGAAAGTTGCAGTGGTATGCATTGTTTGAGCTTCTGACTGTGAGGCTGGAGTTGTTTTGCTGCTACTAGTGAGTAGTTTTGGTTTGGCGATAGAGGTGTTTTTCTTCTGTGTAACCATCTCCTCCAAGTTGTACAGTCTATTTTTTAAAATTTTTATTTATTTATTTATTTTCTTTACTGTTGGCTGACAGATTGCTGAGTGGGACAAGGTGCACACTGGCTCCTCATGGAGTGCCAGCTGGGTTCAGAAGGAAGCATGCACAGTCTTACTGAATATAACATGAACGAAAGCATGCTTAAAATGAAAATACTGTATCTAAGATCTATAAACACACACACACACACACACACACACACACACACACACACACACACACACACACACACACACACACACACACACACACAATAAAATCATAATTAAAAACCTCCTTACTATTTCTAAAAAGAATTAGTATAAAAGACAAAATCCAGTCGAATTCAATACTTTGTTTTTCTTCCAGCTTTAGCTTTCCACTATAGAGAGGACTTTAATAGACAAAAACGTACCTGCCAATCTCCGAGCAAATCCGAGAGTCTGCGGCCACCGCCGCTTGCTTGAAGCTGCCGCTGGAACATCTTACGCCCAGAAACGAGGTGAAGCACAGGCACAAGAGCGTAACGATGCAAATAAAACCGATCAAAATAAAGCACCACAGCACCCAGGGCTTATATTTGGCCATTTTGACTTTCTGAGGGAAAAACCTTGCGCCGAAGGAACTTGTTCTTGCTGCCACTAAGTGTGCGCGAGGTCTGCCCAATGATCCAGACGTGGATTACCTCCCTCCCTGCCTCCACCAGCCTCTTTTAAGAAATGGCTAAACTGAAACTGAAGATAGGACCGGATGAGTAGTACAATGACTACAGCATGCCACTAAACCTTAATTGTCCTTCTTATATCATGTTAAAATCTCACGAGGGACTTAGCTGTGATTTCCAGGGTGATTTCCATTCGACTCATTGACGTCAATGTCGATAAATGATCTAAAGATGCGACGTTAAAAATAAATTTGTACCCTCTCACTCTCTAAAGCATCCCACCCTGACCCTCAGTGTGAAAAACTAGTTTCCTGCTGTCAGACATCCACCACACTGTCTGATGTGAACTCTGTGTCAGCGACCCAGCTGTGACACTGGGGTATTTAAAGAGAGATATCGCAGATGCTGAACTCATCTGCATTAAGACCACAGCAGGCTCCCACTTGTTTTTTTAATTGCGCCATCGTAACTGACCTCTGGATGGTAAGACATTGTAAGACAAATTAAACAGCAACCTGTAATGGTTTTACGCAAGAGGAGTCTACAAGAAAAAGCGAACCGAGGGGCGCACAGACTGTGAGACAGGAAATAGGACACATAGATTAATAAGAAAAATAGATTAGTAAGAAAAACCCTGCACCAAAAAACACACAAAACCCCCCCAAAACAAAACAAAAACCAACCAACCAAACAAATAAACAAAACCACAACAACAACAAAACAAAACAAGGATGACTTTCAAGGAGTACACAGCATTCAGATTAGTAAAACTCTAACACCTATTTATCAGATTACATGTTAGGTAAACAGTTTATTCATAGTTTACTTTCTCATGACGTCATTTCCTCCACCTTATCTATCAGTTCGTTTAGAGAAGGCTCATCATGAGAGACGTTACGAAAGCTCTCTCAGTTGTTTACAGAGTTTAAAAGACGTATAAACATTTTTTTTAAATAAAAAAAATAATCACTGGGAATCTGTTCTTGTTTTCATTTTCATTGCTCAAACATTAGATAGTTTTCGATATTTTATTGTCTTTTTATTGATTTCATTTTATTATAGGTGTCTGCAATAGTTCTCATGTAAAGGTGGGAAGTAAGTATGTCACACAGCGGAAATTTGTGTTTTTATGTTTTATCAATCTGTGTATTGGTACATAGTGTTGATTTTATTTGCATGATTTTATAGTGATATTTATATTGCATGTTTGTTTGTTGATATTTATACTGCATGGTTTTATCCTCATATTTATATTTGTGTTAATGTTGTACCATGTTCCTTTAACCCACTGTGGACTAAACAGATAATTGTAGGCACCTGTGAGGTGGGGGCGTTCCCCAAGGTGGCCTATCAGCCGCCAGGTCGACCTGTTAAAGGTGATGGTGAGCGCAGAGA